GCTTCTGTCGTAGGGTCGCCTGAACGTCCGCATTCCGCTACCACGTTTCTTTCTGAATAAACGTTGTGTCCTCTGGCATTCCCTATGACGGTGTTGGCCATCTGCTCCCATACTTCGTCCACTTTCCTGTTGAAGTCTTTCTTCGTCAGTTTAATCGTAACTTTCATCCTGTAAGTTTGTTTCAGCTCCCTTTCGAACTTCCACCACTGTATTTACGAGGGTGTCGTCGTATCCACCATATGAATGGGCTGTTTCAGAGAAAGAGGTCTAGGAACAGTAGCCGGTAATGGCTTGTGACAGGTTCCCTGGGAATAACCTTGCAATCTCTGACGCTCTTAAGTTCGTTCCTTCAGAGTAGGAAATAGTCGATCTGACTTTTCTTCTGCCCGCTCTTACACGTTAGCAGGTGGTTTTCTGTTCTCTGGAAAAACGTATTTATCATAGCCAAATCATATGCAACTACCATCTGCAAGTGATCTCTCCCTTTTTCTACTGCATCTATCAAATGTAAACGAAAAACAAGCATGAGCATGAAATTAGCAAAAAAGAGACAGGTAAAGTAACAAGAAAGTTCTTCCATCAGCTGTGTGCATTCGTGTTCGAAGTTATCGATCGTGTGGATTATGAATGGAATCGTCGAGGGTTTGAGTTTTGGTGTTCTCTGCCATTACTCTGAGAAGCTTCAACTGGCAATGGAAGAGTTCATGAACGTACGCACATTCTGTAGTTCTCTTCTGTATTACGCTCCTGTAGTTCTGCCCATCAACTTGCCATGCTCTGACTGTTTCTTTACTGTATCTGTTATAGGAAAATACCGTATACCAGTTAATTCATGATTCGAACAGAATTAAAATAAAACAACCAACAACAACGTTTAGTTCTTTTCTTTTTCGACGCGTTTGATCGATTTATCCTTATTACTGATAATTAATGACATTGCCATGGTAGAATAGAAATATACAATCCTGATGAGGAAAAATAAACAAATGACTACTGATTATTTTTAAGCTAATTCAGTTCGAACCATCAATCAATAAGTAAAATATTTACTCAATAATTGGCCCAGAATCGCACAGATGCGTTACGCAAATTACTTTGAATGAGTTACCGAAGAAATAACAATTTATGAAAATGTTATTTATGCGTCCACGTTACAAGCACGTTACATAACGCAGGTGGTGTTCCACAAAGGTTTCACAGGCAAAAATTCTCATTTAATAATGGAAGATTTTTGGACGTTTATGATGCAAAACATCACAGCACAAGCATGGGAAGAAATTACAGAAAGACGCAGGAATTCCGTTTAAAAACATATTGGTTTGCTTTATGGAACAACTAAGATCAGAAGCTGATGAAAATCATATGCAATAACCAATAATCGACTCCCATAGGGATGATTTCAGAAACTTACTGAATTAAAAGCAGGTAAACTGAAACAGCGTCAACTTACTGAACTAGAAGTGATTTATGAAAAGAAGAAAAAACCACTGCTCAGTTATCACCTGATAATTTTATATTTTGTCTGTCATCGTTAATTGGGTAGCGGAAGGTGAATAGCTACGTCTATCCCAAATTAATAATGCTCTATATGCAAACAGAAAAGCCTCGGATTACATTAACCACTTGACCACAAAGGACATTCTCCTAGTCGCCAGAAGATCAGCTTTCAATATGTTTTGTCAGCTCTAAAACTGGTACCTTTTTTATATGCATAAAGTGATCGGCTTTTAAAGGACGAACGTTTTCCTGACGATTTGTGATTTATGATTATTACATGAGGCAAGTCGAACAGCCAAATTAAAAATATCTTTTATTTTCTATTTGCTCATACAATTTATTTACAACATTCAACAAATTTTGTACGTGAAGTAATCCCGTAAAGTACCTGTCGAGAAATGAACTAAATTCCAGCAGAAAAAGAATCCATCTTCATGTTTAAAACCACTTATATTGTACTTTGTTACCTATTGAAATCTAATTTGTTTGCGCATCTTTAAATGACAATAATTATTCAAGCATGTCAGTGTACTAAAACAACAAAGGATAACGCAGAACTTCTGGCTCCGAACCCACTAAGTGTATGAACGACAACAATGCAACCAGTCTCTATACGGTGAGAAACGTTCGTAAGACACGAGCCGAAACTTAGATACTGGTCAGTCGTACAAATGATCACATTTTTGAGTTTTGCATGAATTAATCGTGTTTTGTGCTACTGCTCAGTACGACCACGAAACGCACGAACGAAATACTCCATGTTCATTTGCTAATCTATAACCACCATTGTCAACAATATGCAATAAGGTGTGCTTAATGGGTTTGGGCGCTCGATGGCGGGGGGAGGGGTGGGCGTGAGGTTAAAGTAAAGATCTACAGAAAGTAACTCTTATGCAAGTCGACGTCTTTCTGTACTTTCCTATGCTACTTTGAATCTGTTGAAAAACAGCCTCCTTTTGTAATTCGGCTTAAATTGTAGAAACATGAAAGTCAACTATAAGTCTGATGATGGCTGATGCCAGTTTGGCTGAATCAAATGTTTCTGGTGCTGCCAACGATCGAATGAGAAGACGATTAGTCGTTAAAAATTTATATACCATGCTTTAGTATTGCTACCAGTGTATGAACATTATCATCTTCGCCAACCATTTCCGATGCACTGCACAACGACGAAGAACATTCGAAGGTTTTGCCACAGAATTTTGTTTTCTATTATTCGCATCCATGTTGCTTGTACAAGTTTCTTGAGCTCATCTTGTCATCGATCTGGAAATCTTAATATGAAGCGTTGATCGTCTACTAGTATCTAGTCTTACATGCTCATGCAAACGTCTCAAGATGATTATCTTAACACACAAACAAACCGTCGTGCAAAAATAAAACACCCCCAAATATACAAGCATACGTAATAAGTCATTAGGATAGCCGTTTGTACATAACAACCAATCACTGTGCCATTCAAGGCAAAACCAGAAAAGCATACAGGAGAACAATGAAAGAACCGGAAAAGAAAAGCGGATAGGAGTCTAAGAAAGTGCAATAGCTTAGTCAGTAGATCTGAAAAGACGGATCTCTTCGCAAAGCTACATGAAAGGTAACCAAAGAGGAGCATGGTTGACTAAATTTATTCTGAGGCACCACTTTTAATGGTCAGATGTCATTAATCTGGATTATTCTGCCTTAGAAGCTTTGTTAGCCTTAGAAGTCAATGAGCGATAACAACGACAAAAACAAACAAAGAATAGGACAGACCATAACAGATAAACGGTTCGGTTATATCGAAAATTAGTCGAAGTTCAACCGGTGCAGTTTGTTAGAATGGAGGAGTATCGCAACCATTGTGGAAACCTCGTATGACTGCTGTACCCGCACAAAGATAGACTAGACCAGATTAAATAATGATTAAGTTTATTCGCTTGGACAACAGAGTGATAACTTGCTCAGCAAGTAAGTCCTCCTTCGGTTCCTCGGCGCTAAGGAGTTCCTCAAAGTACTCTCTCTGTTGCTGAAGAATGTCCTCATCCTGGCTAAAAGGGTATCTAGACTAGTCCTTCAAGACCCTAAGACTGCCCTTCTATTTACCAATTAGTTAAATGGCAACGTTTAACAAATTACACAAAAAATAATAATAAACAAATAGTGTATACCGTTGTAAACATTGTAACATGGTGCCTTGGCATACGGACATTCTTTTCGTGGTCCGATTCTCTGAAAGTTCGGAAGGTAGGCATGGAGGCATTTACCGAGCTTCTTGTTTCACGATAAAATGAAACTCCGCCGTTTGTGTAAAACGGGTGGTTGGTATCACTCAACAATAGTGTTAACCCTAACAGTATGGATTTTTCGATGACTGTAGCCCATAAGTTATTCGGTCACACAAATCTCTGTCTGATCGGTGCGTCTCGCTGATGCTGATGATCAGCATGGCGAAATATGACCGTGTTTTTACGGAGTCCGGCGCAAATCACACGTCCGATATCTGATAGGTGCAGAATCAGTAACAGTAAGCGGCCAAACACAAACTTTCCAACCATATTGTTCGAAAAAGGAGTTGAGAGGGTAGCATCAGACTGAGTAATAAGTAATAACACCGCTGCAAATATGAGGAACTATGAAGAGGATTGTAAACTATGTAATACAGAGGACGAAATATCGGTATCGTTCAAACCACAACTCAAACGCTTACTGCGTTGTGTTTAAATGCATCAGTGCTTTTTTCCGACGACCACATACATATGATTGGCTTAATAAAAAAACAACCTAGGAGAATCAAGTATAAAATGAGTATATGACTATAAATGATTGTCAGACAAGGAAAGCTGCTGCGAAATAGTGCTAAATGCTCAGATGATCACGCTTCCGACTGAAACTTAAACGAGGACGTGCCGAAAAATGAGCAAGTGAAGGAAAATGAGGAAAACAACGAGAATGAGTAAAGACGACAGTACCACGCCTCGGTTTGAGCATAACATGAGCAAGCTGAAACCACCTCATCCTGTCGAAGCACGACTCATTACCTCGCCAGCAGCGACGGGACGACGATCGGCGGGGAAGTGGTGCTGGTGGTGGAAACGGCACGGCGTGACGAGAACGCCCGACGCTTATAGATGCTAAAAATCGACTTTCCTTTGCCGTACTTCATAGCAGTCAGACAACGATTCGGAAGGAGGGCGGAGGCTCGATTCGAACTGGACGGAAGCCAACATACAACAGCTGCCGGTACGGATTACACAAACACCGAACCAAAAATTACCAATAGCCGATGGTCACCGTCGACAACGCCGCTTTTACACATACTCTTTCACTTTGGTTTCGTTTAGTCTATGGCGGCCGCTGTGCGGCGAGATAACTAGATATTAGAGATATTAGGTAATCACTTTAATCGATCACTGATCACGTCAGATGCCAGTGGCAGACAGCATCAACGGCAGCCGCAGTACCGCTGTCGCTGCCATTGCCGTTGCCGTTGCCACTTTACACCTACTTTACTGCGTGACTACGAAATGAGGAAAAACTCGGGCACCCGTCGACGCCGACGACGGTGCGTTTGCTTACTTGCCAATCCGCTGCCTCGCCAACTGCTGTACCCGATGCATGTGCTTCCGGATGTTCTCCATGGTCAGGGTAGCCGCCCAGGAGCCGTCGACAGCCACCACCACTTGGACGAGAAGGCGAAGGTGAAGGTGAAGGCGAAGACGAAGACGAACTGTCGCACGAACACAACACACGATCACCCCCTGAAACCGCAGTATCCCGTGGTCCCACCAGCAGCGCTTATTTCTGAGTACATACGCGACAATGACATCAAAGCGGTAACATACACGACGGTATATCTTCCTGTCTCTCGCTCGCGCCTATGACTCAATTTAGACGATCGTTAATACTTTAAAGTACGGTCTATTCTGAGAAACGATTTGCAGGTTAGGTTAATACTGCAAGGACCTCGTTTGCATGTCATTGTACCAGTTTGCACTTAAAATGTAACTCCTGCATCATCATTCGTAGTGATTAGACAAATAATTCTACCGTGTCTATCAGCTATATAAATAAATACGAAGACAAAATTAACAGAAGAAAAGAGCAAAAAATTGATATAAAGTTAATTTATTTTGTCGAAAGTGCCTGTGGTACATATTAACGTGTGAAAGAATAATTTATGGAAATACGTACATATTTTGTTTTGATTTTTAATCAAAATAAACCAAAAACAAGCGCGCTGCCCCTGCTCAACTTGAACTAGGATCCGCAACAATCCTGTATCTCATAGTGATGAACGACCTGTAAGATGGATTCAGCTTCATGAAGGTGGATGACGACCATTATTAAAAGCGTATTTTTAGTTTCGGCTCTTAGGCGAATGCAGTTCTGTCATGTTTTTTAACATTCGTAGAAATGCATGGAGGAGTATATTGGAGAACGCAATGTACCATTATAGGGGCATAGTAGAAGAGTAAGCGTCTACCCATGGTTATCAGTTACACTCTTCTGTGCATCTGTGCCAGCTGCACCTTTACAACGGGACAAGACTGCATCCGCTTCAGAACCCAATCTACGAATGGAATTCTTATAATGCCTCTCATCGAGGTTCGGTCGAAAGGAAATTTTCTGGAAGAAACTTTTATCGTCCCGTTCAAACTATTACTTTTTTTATGATTCGGCTGGTTGCCTACTCCATCGCGTTGTTAAAGGCGACAACATGTTTTGTGTTTCTTATTAATAAAATCAATGTATATCGCTCGCGCTCTCTAATTAAAATTAATAGGATTTCATTCTACAGTCATATGTATGGATCAAAAACAGGACTCAGTATTTTGGATGGTTTGAAACTAGAGCAAAGCTTTCCATGGAAGAAAAATAAGCTTTATCAAGTGATAAAGCATCATGGGACAACACGGTGCTTTGATGATCTAACAGTATACATGATATTCAGGAATTTGGCACTGGCAGTTTATGTTGTGGAAATGACTTGTGGAGCTGCACCGCTGGCTTCATGAAAAATTCTTGTTACAAATTGCGGTTATCACCCAGAGTATAGACGTGAGTGAGCATCTCAAGTTGGCAAATTTTTTTCCTTTATGAATTGACGTGATGGGAACTGAAAAGAGCATAACGTGCTTTGTAAATTTGAATAGTTAAGGTCTGAAGAATGCGGCATCAAAACATTTTTTTGCATATTTGCATGTATACTGTTAACCTCGCATATTCAACCTTATATATTGCTGCTGTAATTCTGGCGAAGAAATGGCTCTATTTATTAACAGATTTAGCATGATCTTTAGCTGGAGTTTAATCGTAAGATTAGGATTAAACCTGTATTCAGGTTTAAAACTTGCTGCGCAGTAATTTCTATGAACGTACCCAGGTTAGAGCGACGACAGCAACTACCAATGCTGTTTCTTGCCACGTCTGTAAGAAAAATCCATCTTAAAAAACCTTCTTCATGGCTCCGAATAAAGTTCCTGTAGAAATACCTCCTTTGCTTGGTGTACTTGTATTAATTGAATATCAGGTAAGGGCATTTTATAAAAGCACTTGATAAGCACTGTTTGCTGTAAGGTAATCCAGATTAAAGCAAATTATTCCGATCTGCCGATCTTCCGTCCGTGATTGCCTACATAAATAGAATAAATTAACTGAGTATTTGCTTGTGGGATGTATTGGTTCTTGTGGGAGGAAGATAGGTCTTTCCTAGACTCATTAGTTAAAGTTTGAAAAAGAGCTACTAATTAGTTAGCGTATGGAAAGCAATCGTCAGCTCGTCATCGGTGGCCGATCAGGTTATCATGGACCGCTGATCCTTAACAAAGTGCTACTTAATCTATTGACCATGGAATGGTGCCACCCATTAAGGGAACATCGTAATGAATGGGTCGTGTTTCGTGTCAATTCATGATAGCTTGATTAGGACATAAATGGCATCCTCAAGTAAAAGACTGATGAAATAATTCTTAACGTTTTATGATCAGGTTTAGGCAAACTCTTCTAGAATATGCATTTCAGGATTCGTTTTCGGGTGATTCGAACGTAAACAATATTGAAGAATATCGAGGCAAACAATCCTCAACTTCTGCAAATGAGTCTACTAAAACGAGAAAAATAAGATTACTTCAGATGTACCTGCCACTTGAAAATCTGTGGGACTGGCCTGAAAAACATGCCATGGAATGGAATGAAGACCAGTCAAATGAACACGACACATTTGATCATGTTACAAGGGGACTATATCAAACAGAATATTCATCATTTTCAGAGTTTTGGAAGTCAGCTTCTAACCTCAGAGCAACAACGGATGTTTTTCCCAATCATGAAGAAATGGCAGAGCTTAACGACGAGGAAAATGATACTGCAAAGGAAAAGGATAACGAGTCCGCTGACGCTGAAAGGGATTCACCGCTTTTGAAAGCTACTGCATCATATGATATGAACAAAGTTTCTGAGGGAGTTCCCTTTAAAGATTTTGAACGAAAATCACTCGTTCCTTACACAGAATACGAAAAACCTGAAAAATCAAAAACCTCAGAAATTGATCACATTGTATTTCTTCCTCCAAAGGTCGTGGAATTTGAATGCGAACATGAATCAGATATGTGTAAGTGAAAGCAACTGACGATGCTCATACTCTTTGAAACAACGAACTTTCATTATCAAGCATTCACTCATCAGTCCACAGTCAGCTTGTCAGCGGACTGGTCAATTCACGTATTCATATATTCATTCATTCCCTCAGTCAGTCATTCGTTTGATTTAATTAGAACTGTTAGGTATAAAGCTTCACATGTTTTTCAACGTATTATGGAATTATTTTTTTGATTTAATTCATTTCTCTATTGGCTGCCTTTCAACCCGACTAACGAATACAAAGTCCACAAAGGTAGGTTCATATCATGGTTTCCAGAAAAATCTGTACAACTGTCAATGCCTGTTGTGAGTGTCAAAACACTACTTGTGAAGTGACTCAGCAGCAAAATGTCATCTACATACTCAAGAGTCATTGGAAGTACCCGAATTGACATATCATCAATCAGTGATGATAATATGCATATCCATCAGTATCGAAATTCGAGTTACACATTGCGCTGATTATTGCATGGATAATGAGCTATCAGGTGACTCAAGGCGAAACGCAACCACTAAGGGAGCTCCATTGATTCGAAAGTCACGGACTTATCACCCGTTTCTTGGCCGGCTGCTCCGAGGCATCATTAGGCTAATTCCTTGCTCAAGCGAATTAGCGGGAAAAATGAATTATTAAGATTATAAAGTATCACATGGCTTTCCACATTCCTCCTTGATTGAACATCGACTAAGATTACGTTGAGAACCTTTTCTCGTAACTTTTAACCGGTCTATCGGTGACCCTTCAGAACTGGCGGCGTATTTTGTTCTTTTCTGCAGACATTCATAAAATTTACTACCTCCTGCAGCAGTTCATGATGCCAAATTACATGCCACGTCGCCTGATGATGGACTGAACTGAAGGTTTGCCGAAAGTGCAGCATGTGAACGAAATTGGAAGACCTGGCCCCGCTAGATGATCTGATCTAAGCATGAATGAGTTATTCGTGTACGTGTATTTGCTTCGGAAGTTAACTTTATTTATTCACAACAAGTGCTCCGTGATGTCTTTAGGATTTCTAACGACGATCTGCATTATCTTCTTCCCAAACACAATCTAAGTGATAAGTTTTCGACGGGCGTAATGTCTAGTGTACAGAAAAGAGTATATCATTGGGTTATAAATTGTGCATTATTAGTTCTTTGGCATGAAACTTCCCAACGATGATTTTCACAGATTCGACAAAGTCTAACGGAATATGATTTTAGGTACTTGGATGGAAAGATGTCTATTATTAGAAAACAGTTCTAAGAATGAGGAGATGCATGATACCGTATCCAGAGTTCGGCTGTTGCTGCCTGTTCATTGTGAGCCGTTCGATTCGAAACTGATGGGGCAAATGAAAACGTCGCAGGTTCAGTACTTGCAGCTGCGACCAAAGTTGCAAGAGGGCGAAGACTGGTTTGAAGAGTTTATGGCTGAAACGCTGGGTGTTCCTGGCGCCCATTTGATCGCTGCGGATGCTTCGATTGTTGGCGGAAGGGGAGTACGTATTTTGCAGCTGGACCAAGGGCAGGCTCCTCTTGGCGAAGCAGCGAATTTGGCTGAAGTTCTGTTGCGAGTTGTTCGGGCTGTCATGGGGGCCTGCCGAAGGAGTAAAGACTGGAAGGAGGTGTACGTCAGTCTGATGCTTCCACCGAGAATGCTTAAAAGACGCAACAGAAAGACGGTACCGCTGCTGAACGCATGCATGCGAAGAATCGAGGAGGCGTACGATGAAATCGAGTCAAAAGTGGCCATGGATGAGGTGTTTATTAAAATGGCTTTCGAAATATTCGAATTGATAGATCATTCACGTGTTGAGGAAGAATTTTTTTCTGTGCCCGGAATCTCCATCTCAAATCGCTTCAAGAGGTGGGAACAGCTTTTGAAACGTGATGATTTCTCTGAGTTATCTTCCAGAGTTATTTTCGAAGTTCCCATAACTGATGATGAAGTGGCACTACAACATAAAACCTGAACAAATCAAGCGACCCACTTCTTAAGCCAGAAAGACATTCACTCGTTGGGGTAATGGTTTCATCACAAATTATCAATCTCTTTCCTCCAACGTATAATATGCTAATGAACTGTATTTACATGGTAGAAAAATGATATAATGAATGATTGTATCCAACCTCACTTACATCTGTGTCATGCACTAACATTTCAGTGATGTTATACGGTCATAGTTTGGGTTGAAGTTAAAATTTTATTAAAATTGCCAATATTTCAGCTGAACGACGCTGGTTATCTTCTGGGCAAGTACGTTCTAAAAAAGCGTAGTGTTCCTTTCATCAGGATTGGCTGTATCCGTAATTAACAAAGACGAACGCTTAAGTTTATGCTACAAGGATTTGACTCTTCGACAAGGACAATTCTGATCAGCTAAAGGCAGCTGTAATCAAGCTCTGATTTCATGAAGTGCACGATGTATGTTTGTTAAGATGATCACCTTGAATCATTTGCATAATCAGAATATCTCTGATTTGTGATTTCAGATTTTCAATGCTTTTGCCACAAGGCGCTGGATAGAATAGCATCAGGGAAGGAAGTGCGCATCTCCTGAAGCAGATCTGCCCACCTTGTTCAAGTTGTACACCTTCTGGTCCACGTTTGCCATATTTTGGCTCAAGGGCGAGAAGCCACAAGCTACAGTAAATGGATTATGCTCAGCTAAATTGTCTAGCAGGGCCAACATCCTTTTCACGTATGTCCGTTGTGCCCAAAGGCAAATGGAACCATCTTAAAGAGGTTCTCGACGTGAACACTGCTACAGTAGTTCAACATTCCTTCGTCAGAGCAACTGTCTCATGCCACTGAACAGCACTAACCTGACGCTACAGGCGGATATTCTGTGGGAAGAGTAACTCGTTTATCGACCACTTGGGCAAATATCCAGAAGCGCTTGAGGTTAGGGTGATCTTTCTATTTAACTACGGATCCATGCTTTTAAGATGTAAGCTCGTTCAAGCAGTCGAGATTCGCTTTCCTAGACGAATCACTGGACTCACGCGTCTGGACACAGTCCGCAGTTCAGATATCTGATATCCGAGAAAGCCTCGAAGTGCAACCATTGCTTACAACTACTTGTCGTAATGCACTGGGTGGCAGTTCGCCTTCGTCCGCCTGATAACTGATAACTCAATGTGATAATCAGCAGAATGTGTAGCTCTTGTTGCTGTTGTCGTTGTATTACGCTGATCTTCTCTCTTATTCCGTCAATGAGGGATTCCTGTTTGTTATTTTCAAGACATATTTGCCATTTGGTGATCATCTGTGTGTGGAGTGTCTCGTGTGCTTCTCATGCAGTAGTGGCACGTCGTATTTTCTGATAAGTTTATTTACAGAAGAATCAGTTGGCACAATGTGCATCGAGTTCCAAAAATAACTTTTATACAACAACATAAATAAAACAGGAAATTGACGTCACTGACAGTCACGGTCGAAATAAGTCACTGGGTCCCTATTCGAGTGAACGAATAATCTTGGCCTAGTTGTCCTTGATTCTGAGGTGAGCACGCACGTCCCGTCGTCACTCCAGTACATGAGCGAATTGCATAATCCGTATCCCTGGCGAGTCCAAGTTTCACACCACTGTTTGCACTCGCTTTCACTTGTTCCTGTCTTCACCGCATCCGCATAGCCGACCAGCAAGAAACTGTCGTATCGCTGAAACGTGCAATGTTTCTGATGACCTGCTCCCTCTGTGGCTGAATTGGGCGAATCTGGCTGCATCGAGTCTCTGCCTAAAACATCAGTTTTCCCATTTTCGAAAAGTAGGTTTGATTGCAACTAAGGTGAAGATAATTTAAGATACGTCGAGATATTTGTTGCAACTTTTTTTCGTCAACTGCCGCTGCAATTTGAGGATAATCGGCCTGTTGCTCCTCCCTGCAAATGAGGGAACACAACTTCTTCTGAATCAGGAAATCTGCTATGTGAAAGTGCTTTTATGTGTAGAAATAATTTTAGACTTGAATAAGCTAAAAGCAAATGAACAGTGAACGCATATTCTTAGCAAAACAGGGATGTTGGATCCAACCATACCGCTAAATAAATGTTTCTAATTAAGTGAAAACTCCCTTTTGCAAGGGCGTATTCCAGTGTGTACTGCTGTATTGTTTTTGCAGAGTTTGAACAATCGAGTAACGCTGATTTATGTTGTCTCTTTTTAAGAAATGTTGCCTCATATTTATATTAGGCAGCCTTCGCTGCTGCGGCAGAGGTCATATTCCACATGCTGAGACAACCAACCAAAATGGTGGGTAGAGAGTCTAGAACAACTAACAGCGAGCGCAGCACAGTGTTCTGACGTGATTATGCAGATGCTTGAAGGACTTGTGACTGCGCCTCCTTTCTGCTGCGTTAGTTTTCACGTAAGCATATGTCAGCAACTGACCTACACCTCCCATCCTTAACTCTCTTCACAGCTGACTGTAATCCAGCTCAAAGTCTAACCAATAAGTAAAATGATATTATCGAAAGATGATTTACATCATCACATGACTACCTGACAACTAGGGCAAGTGCACAACTCACATAGAAACATGAGGTAGTCCGGAATGCGACGGTCTCCTGACCAGTGCATCCTGAGAGCTTCGTTAAAATCGGACGAATACGGTATGACGTCGCCTCTGGCACGGTTCGTTGAAAGCGTAATTGTGCCAGAACAAGGCTCATAGCCAGAGGGTTCGCTGCTTTTACAGAAAGGATCGCATGACAAACCGGTTTCGTCGGTCACGTTGAATCGGACTTTAGTCATGCCACCATTTTTCGCTGGATTCCTCACTTGCACAGTGACCAGTCCTTTGTAGTAGGGGTAACGGGAACTAAAAATAAAATACTGCAAATAAAGTTAACGGAACGACTAGTTCCTGCGTTTAAGTATCTGTGTTCCTCATGTTAGCTAAGGGCGAAAGTCTTTTCACGCCTAAGTAAGACGACTTTCAGAACATCCCTTCCGTTCTACTGAGGAAGAAGGCCATAATTAAATTACAGGGATATGGAATCCCATACATTTCTGGTGATAGACACCAATTGCGATATCCTTTTAAGATGGAATACACGATAGGTTTCATGCACTAATCTCCTTTACGATGCAACCAGCAAATATTTCTGCATTTGTACTCTTACCTATAGCCAAAAGAACGGTGAACGTGCTATTATCAGTGTTATCAGTGCATGATGGAGGTAACGGTCTTTCTGATCGTCATCAAGTACCACAGAGAATGTATTTTTGACAAGGAAGATGTCCAGAAGCAAATCCTTGACACTGCAATCTCTCTTGCAATAGCATCGCAAAGTCAGACCTTGACAATTGGAAGACGATCGTCAGAAAGAGACGACCAATTCAACAAGTTTTTGAACTGAATCGCAATGTGCTTCCAGCTGAAGCTTCTGAGAAGGCAATGACCCTTCAGCTGCAACGTTTCTCATCAGCGATCGTTTCGCTGTTATCCTTAACATGACGTGAACGACGATTTCATTTCACAGTCCAGGAGTTTTATCCCTCAGGCAGACTGAACAGCAGAAATCCATATTCCGTGGTAGGTTATGTGGCAAAGTCCATTTCCGCTGAGTCGACGCTCGTTTCTCTGCTGACGAACGATCATCATGATCCATTTCGAAAACTGCAAGAAACTTAAACAAAATATGTCTGCGTTGTTTTTAGACAGGTACCACACAGTAGCTTTCTACTTCCAACAGTAATTAAAACATTTATTAATATAATCTTAACATAATCGCATCATCCCCTTACTCTTAGCTTCTAATGAACCGTTTAAGCAAACCACATTTACTTACAGTACACTGGATTCAGACTCAGTTCGACTGCATGATTTCTTTTAGTGCTCGAACACACCCTTGTTCAGCCTAACTCGGTACTGCGCTCTTGCATTTGATGCACCGCAGTGTTGAAACACCTTGGGACAGTGGTGTATTTAAGTAACCCCCTAAGCCACCAGACTCCAGCAACAGAAATTGAAATGGACTAGAGGCTCATATGCCATTTTTGATGACAATTTTACATGCCTGTTTATGAAACAAGTCACGTGTCCTTCTTTTGGCACTTCTGGTCTCATGGACGATACGACTGCTTTTCTGAAAGATGACTTAGCCTTTTGTCAACAGGAGCTGAAACTTAAAAACTGGAAGCATTCTTTAAGGGATTTTTCATATCCGATTTACTCCTGCATATTCTCCAACGTGCAGCATGATCTTCGATTCGCCATCAGGGAGCAACATTAACTAGAACAAAACAATGATACAGTATGAAAAAGAACCATGAAGCAGCGGCTGCCATACAGAGTCGTCAACCTCGATAGTGAAACTGCCTCAGAGCTTCATTTTCATGAATGTTTGTTTTCATACACACGTCTTTGGGGATTTTTGGGTACCCTGTGGCACAGTAGAAATCAGGAATGAGCTCAGCTTTGAACTTTGGAAGTTCCAGGTTCAAACCATGAGAAACAAAGTCTTTGTAGTAACCATTAATTTCGGTATGCAAGTAATTCACCGTTCGTTGCTTAGGTGTTACAAACCAAAGTAGACTTTCGAACGACAGGAGCAGCATGGTGTTCTGGCATGGCCATACAAGAATGGGCGATAGATGTGACCATACTGTCTAATGCCAGCACCTCCTAGGGCTGTAATTCGCCTCTGTCCACCTGATACTGTTTTTGATCATCAAAAATGGGTGTAACCCCTGTTGTTGCTCACGCATTGGTTCGGTTGAATTAGAAAGGCTTCGTTTTTCTTTTGGCTTAAAAAGTTTCTCTCTCAACGTGTCTTAATTTGGTTCCATAATTTGCACAGTTATCAGGGTTCACAACCTCTGAGTTTTATTGACATTTATTTTTCAGTACTTGAATATCTTTTATTTCTTTTTGCTAGCTTCTTCACTGTAATTTTCCATCCTGATGTGAATCAGAATTGCCTCATTTTGCCAGATTGCCGAGGTGTTCCTTGTTGTACTGTTACTTTGAAGTAATTTCGAAATGGATTGTGACACCACTCAAGCCAAGACAATTACATCAAACAAAGTTACACAAAAATTTAACCTGAAAAGTTTGAACGATAATTCACTGTTCCCTGTTACAGTGCGGCTCGTACAATTTCTCACCGTCCTGTTTAAGAAAAACAGTGCAATTATGTTTGTGACGTTCAGGTTAAAGTATTGTATGACTTTATGCCATAAAAGTTTTTGATTCATGTGAAGTTACAAACCGTTTCAAGGTCACTGCAGAAACCAACAGAACGACTTTTCAATTGATGTTCGGAAATTGCCGGTAATTAATTATTTTTCATTCTTTGGCGGCACGTCATAATCTTCGCGCTCTGCAATTCAACAACCGTCCACTGTATTTTCAACTTTTGATCAGAATGATAAACAGGAGGCTGTCTGAATCATCAGGAATGGAATCCCTTGTTTTTCAGCATTTTTACCAAACCTCTATTAAAAACGTCCCACAGATTAATCAAAGACTATCCAAAGTTCTGCAAATGGTTGTTTCTCTCTGAGAAAAAAGTGCTTCGCCTTGCTGTCGAAGGTATAAGGCTCAAAGAACTAATCTGTTTCAATTTTCCAAGAGGCATGTAAAATTACCTTCTAATTTATAAGCAAAACTATTTCCCCATGGAGATAAATTATGAATGAATGCTTTAGTATTTGTAATGGATCTTTACCTGCGGACTACATTTCCTTGGTATTCGCCGTTGTAGTTGACTCCTTGAGCGAAGACCGTTGCTTTAACTTCGCTTCTTTTCGAGGTGTTGATGGTTCCTTTGAGCACTGTTAACGTCATCCAGACCCAGTCAGCCTCTCTGTCTTCGTTAGGGACCGCTCCTTCTTCGTCGCCAGTGAATTGCAAGTCGGTTTTCACGTCTTCGGCAGCGCCATGAACAATGGGCGATAGTGAAGAAGTTATGAGTCGTTTCCTGCGTTCCTCCTCCAGTCTTTTTTCCGTGCAATTGCAGTCACAGCCGCATTCCTCCTTGGAGCCCTTGGTGGACTCTGACGCCGGTTGACAAACGCCATGGACGCACTTGCCTCTGTAGCAGATGTCAGCCCATTCGAAGCCGGTGCAGTTGCCACCAAGGCGCACTTGGCTGAGGCACCTCGACGTAGTCGCATCGCAGAACAAGTACTCAGATTCGCACATTGGCTGACTGGAGGAACAGGTTGGCCGCGAGTCGTACACGTAGAACATATCCGTATACTTGTTCGACAGTCCGTCGATGTTCTTTAGCTTGAAAGGCAGCATTGTCGAGTTCGCGTAGTGGTAGCTGTTGCAGCTGTTCTGTTCGGTTGGGTACTGTGTCTCCCGTTCGGCACGTGTCTGTTTCATCAGCCGAAATTCTTCCCACAGGTAGTCAACGAACGAGTGATGCAGGTAAAACACCGGGTCATCAGGAGAAGTGGGAATGTCCTTCATATGGCCACCAACCCACAGGCCGACAGCTCCTTGCACCTGAAAATCAGCATCACATGTGAAAGCAGATTTGCTCGTTGTTTCGAGATTATCAACCGTATCGTTAAGTAACATAAGTAGAACAATAAAGAAACCTTTGCTACGAGTCGCGCCAGACCCTCATCGAGAAGGGCAACACATCCAACGCAAGAAGTAGAACAATACTATGTCAGGCACTATTTTTACACAGACCGGAATTTACACTTTGAAATACTAAGATTGCATGGAAACGCATCATGAACTCAAAGCGGTCAGTCAACTAAGATCTGCTTAAATTCTATGATTATTAACAATGCTGAGTCATAGCTCTTACACATAAAACAGTACCATTCTGGAAGAACGTATCAACACCATGGTTTTTTTCCATGGTTCCTATCTAAACTACTGTTCTAACCTTTTCGTCCCAATACTTCCTTTGACCCTCGTTTTGTCTGCTTAGACTATTGCTGAAAGTAAACTGTATTTATCAAGCCGATGCCAGTGATATGGTCAGCAAAGACTTGGTTAAATCGACGCAATGAAACCTACCAGTTCAAAAAAAGGATCGACGCAATTCGTGAGGTCATCATAGCGTTGCTTCCCCAGAATCTCTTCAAAATCCTTTGGCCTGTATAAAGAGCCAAAAGGCG